GATGTAGAATGCGAATCTGTCATTCAGATGACGTAGTTCTTCCTTTTCTTCGAATCTGGAGACATTAAAGAAGGAGGAATCACAATGTAGTGATTGCGAATGCTCATCCTCAGGCGTCGAAGTGCTTCCTTCAAAGCTATCGTTGTCTTTAGTCCTGATGCCTGTGCTAGATGAAGTAGATGCAAGTTCAAGATGATCTCCTTTCGTACTATCAGGGGAAACAGAAGATCGACCATCGGGAGAACATCGCGAAGTCTTAGGAGTGCTGTTGCCAATACTCCCACTACTTTTGCTCACTTTCATAATGCTATTACAATAGGATATTAGATAAATAAATAAATTTAATGATAGACGCTACTAACGCAAAAGATAAAAACTAGCATAGATGAGCGTACGTGGGAGGACTATTGGGAAGGAAGGCATGTAATGGGTAAGGGGTACAAGCGTAGGAAAAAGGCGCCGGTGCTCCCAAGTTTGAGCCATCAAGGCAATCCACAACTAAGATTATGATGTATTCCTTATAAATCTTAGATAATAAAATCATTATATTTTTTAACTTATATTATGATTTTTAAGAATATTCTATCTTAAAAGCAGTGCGCGTCTTGTCTGGTAGTCGTATCCTGCGTGGACAATTACGTGTACGCATTCCTGTTCTCTACGTGCTTATTATTTATTTTTATCAGGCAATTAATGGAGTATTTTAACATTAAGACATATTTATTATACCTTTATTCCTATAGGTTTTTTTTCTCTGAGGACCCTATGACTCGCCCTATATGTCCTCGCATTTTATTATATATATAGCTATTCAAGTACACCCATATTCTTTAAAAGTTTGGACTCATCACCATTTTCTCCTAGAGTTTTACTAGTGTAGACCCATAACACTCTTCATTTTATACCAATCTTACCGGGATCCTTCTATACAATATTTTAAAGTCTTGCTTAAGAATTATTCGCATAAAAAATTCAATACGTTTTTAAATTGTAGTGGTTTTTGTCTTAGGTCTGCGTATTTTATTGGCCCCAAATTTGTTAATGCCTTGACTATCACTTTTGAACTACTTTCGTTTGCCTCTCCCACACTATAAAGAGGGTATTACAGAATTCGGGTTAAATATCACTTACATATATGAGAACTAAAATTAATGTCTATTTATTGAACATATATAAGTAAAATTCTTTTACATTTTTAACGTGGTGCTGACGCTTCTAAACTCTTATTTATTCAATCTCTCATTGCATTCTATCTTCTAGTCCTCAATAGACCTATAAATTTTTAATCTAGAATTATTTATTATGTGGTTAAGGACTGCTGAGGCATACCTTTTCCATATTCTTTCGAGTAAAGCTCAAATATTCAATCGTAGATATGAGGACTAAGATGGTGTATCCTCTGTCTCACTTTCCTTTCGCTGTACAAATGTGGTCATACCTCATTTCCGCTACTTATGATGATTCCCACCATTGGACCGTGAAGTTGGTACATTCCCATATGTTTCGACGGCATCGTCAGTGAGTCTTGTCATTCTTAGCAAGAAGTTACAACTCGTCAAAGATGTAAGTTAAGTCAATCACTTTACCGACTTTTTTCCAAATCGGTTGTGCCACACAACTCGCTAAAAGGGCACCTCTTGAGGAGTTGAATATAAGCAATTCAGAAGATGTGATAGAAGGCTGAGTAGATAGTTGAACCAGTTCACAAAGTGGAGTAACGGCACAGCCACTTCAGCTTCAGACAAGGTGTGTCCAACTAAGTCGCTTCGACAACACGATCAATTGTGTAAATGCAATCAGACCATTCCAGTACTCCATTAATTTTTTTGCTAGGATGGGCATCTCTCAATTTGTAATTATGACCACAAGAGCTCACTATAGACCTGAATTCTTTTATTTTGTTTTAAAGTTTCTTTGAAGTGGTAAGACTCAGTGCTAATTTAAATTACCCTGCTCAAATTCTTATTAGATTAATCATCGGTGCCTTATTTATGGTGCATGGACATTTATTTTTTACCCTTCGATTAGGGGACGCGTTTTTTGTATGATTTGTCTGCCAATCAAATGTCTGCCATCTAATAAAGCTTTGTCTAGTAGATCCAATTCAAATTGGTTTTCTTTTATCCTTTATTTAGCATATCTTTGGGATGCTTTTTCTCCGTTGCTTCCTTCTTTTGGCGATACTCTTCTCAGTTAGAGCTGATGAACATATACCTCGTGATATGAAGCCCTCACAAGATCCTCCTTCAAAGCAACAACAATCGCCTTTGCCACCACCACAGCAGGAGTTCCGACAACACGCGCCAGCTCAACAGTTCCAGCAGCGACAGCAGCCTCCACAACAATTGCAGCAACCGCCCCAGCAACAGCAACAACCGCCCCAGCAGCAACAGCAACAACCGCCCCAGCAGCAACAGCAACAACCGCCTCAGCAATTCCAGCAGCAGCAGCAACCACCTCAGCAATTCCAGCAGCAGCAGCAACCGCCTCAGCAATTCCAGCAGCAGCAGCAACCGCCTCAGCAATTCCAGCAGCAGCAGCA